ATATGTCGAAAAAAAAAAAAAAAAATGAAATAGTAACAATGACTTGACAATATTGCATTTAGTCATTTTATCTGTTTTGAATTCTGTTTTTAGTTTAAAATCATTTCTTTAGAAATTGATTTCTAAGGTTTTAATGCAATCTTTTCCATTTGTTGTTCAAACTTTATTTTATTTATAAATAACTAAAAATTTATTAGCAAGTCTATCAATCTATAGGATTTCATGCAGCATTCATTTTACTTGGCAATTTGAAAAAAGAATGATTAAAGAATTGTTAAAAATCTAATGAAGCGAAACGTATTAAAATTTTGGCATTTTAATCGAATATAAGAAAAAATAAAATTGGTTTGACCATGAAGCAAATCGATACACGTAATAAAAATTCGATATTAAATTATTTAACTGCAAACTATTTTGCCATAGTACAACGAACAGTTTCTATTACGTGTACAATAACTCTCAAACAGTAGCAACTTTATAATCCGCTTAATTAAATAATAAAACGGATATTAAATATTATTTGTAATTAAATATGTTAAATAACTTAAATTATAATAAGATATATATTAAATTTTTTACATTCGTAATATCATAATAATAATTAACAATATGAATCAAAAATAAAATAATTAAATTCATTATTTATAATAATAATAATAATAAATTTATCAGTGATTACATATATTAACATTTTTTATAAATTTAATTCAAAAGTTTTCATTATTTTATAATTACTATAAATTATAGGCCATGTGCAACTCAAAAAACATATTAAAACATTTCTTCATATAATTTGATGCGAGGAATAGCCCAATTTTTAAAGCATAGATATTTATATAGAAAGAAATAAATGAATAAATTGCGTTAATTACATATTATCAGTGACGTTTCTTGGTTAATGTTAAATGAATAATAATATAAGAGAAATTAAGCGCGGGAAGTAAAACGCGACGACGATTGACCTTGAAATTAACCGCGCTTGCGTATTTGAAACTTCCGTTTTTTTCAGTGGGAGCCTCTAGAATAGCATGTGATCTCCAAACACGTTGGTTTTTCGTGAGGGTTTCACGTTACTGTTACTTTGTGTAAAGCTTAAATGAAATTATGTATCGATTCAAATAGTTATTTATATGAATTAGAGGTATATAGTAATTTTAAACAGAAAACAATGCATAGAGTTAATATAAAAATTATTTTTAAAAAGTAGGATATATTCGGTTTTCTTTATTTATTTTAATTAAATTTATTCTAAATTTTATCACGTTTTAGAAAAATCTTATTACTTTTCTAGCTGTTATAGAATAATAGAGGGAAAGTATTGTAATCGGTCAAATTTCGACCCTCCTGGTTTTTTACGTTTCACGACGTCCTCTGATTAAAAACAGTTATAAAATTCATTACAAATTATAAACAAAAATTCTAGAAACAAAATTCCGTACGATTATGTGTATTGGTTTTATTTTGCTTTATGTATAAGGTCCCCATGGACAAAAAATTTGAAATTTAACAGGAATACGTCTATACATGGCGCATTGGTTTACATTTTGGAAATGATAAGTCAAAAGGGAGGGGAGATAGAGGAATAGAGAATCATATCTCGAGTGGGATCAGACTTAATGAAAATTTTACTCGTACGAGTTTGAGCTTCTTAAAGCAATTATTAGCATTTACCATTTGTTTTTTTTTTTGTTTTTTTTAATGTTAAAACTTTATAAGCATTTAAAAATTTTAAGTTCTTAAATTTACTGTTTCTTCCGTTTATTTTACTAAAATCTTATTCCAGATAGTAGATTTAATTACTTTCAAGTAAGTTTCATATAGATCTAATAGGCTATAATTAAGAAAGCAAATATTGATTTCCTTCTTCATAAAATCTATAACTAGAAATCTTTATTATATACATTTAATTTATTATAAAATCGATAATTAAAGTTATTATATTTAATAACTCTTATTAATAAATTTAATTCTTATCATAATAATAATAATA